TTTTAAGTGGGAGAACTTGCACAATTGGTGGCTGACTAAATACTTTTTTGCCCCACTGTACCTAAACCCGAATGGGTAGTCTCTGTGTCCAAACACCCACTATCCACTGCAGAACACAATATCCTCCAGAAGGGCCTCAACTATACCATGGGCAATGCTAATTATTTAGAATTCTTTGCAGCCTTAGAAGCAGCATTTAAAACCTCAGGACTTGCCACAGAGACCCAAGAAAACATAAGGCAGACAATCATACCACAGACCAGAAGAACACAGAATCAGAACCAACTTAAAGCAGAGGACAAAGTAGCCCTCAAAAAGCTAAAGAAGGACCAAACCATCACCATCCTCCCAGCAGACAAAGGCCAAACCATGGCTATCATGGACAGAACACTATACAAAAAGCCAAAGAATTACTGGAGGACAAAAAAACCTATATCCCAGTAAACACCAACCTGATACAGAAACCGGACAACGTGATCAAGAGAACCTTTAACGACCTAACCAAGAAAGGTAAAATCACAAAAGAAGAACAGTGGCAGATGAAAAGCAGTGGACCCATCCTCCCACACTTTTATGGACATCCAAAAATACACAAGCCCGACGTACCTCTTTGTCCAATTGTATCATTATAAGGGACTCCAACATATAACATAGCAAAAGAACTTACAAAAAAGCTTGGACATCTCACAGAGAGGAGTGAATATTCTATCAACTCCCCATTACAGTGCCTCTAAATAATCAAAGGCCTAAAAAACAGAAAAAGATAAAATTATGGTTTAATTTGATGTCACAGCATTCTTTATGTCCATAAATCTGGAACTAGAGAAAGAATTCATGGCAGCAGTACTACATAGCACACCCGACCTAACCAAATACACTAAGATTGAAATAACCAGAATCATGGACCTCACTACCTACTTTCAATCTGATGGACAAATACACCTACAAATCAGAGGAATACCCATGGGATCACCACTCTCAGGACTCATAGCATAAAGTATATTGCAGCGTTTAGAAACTATAGCACTCCCACATATACAACCAAAAATATGGATTTGGTACATAGATGATATCTTTATCATAATAAAAAAGGAAGAACTAGAGAAGACACATGAAACAATCAACATCTTCAAAGGAATAAAATTCACAAGAGAAGAAGAAAACCACACACCCTTCCTGGATATCCTCATCAGCAAAGAAAACAATGGCAAATTAGAAACAGAAGTCTATCGGAAAACAACCCACACTAACTATATGCTCCATTACCAAAGTAACAACCCAACCTCCCACAAGAGGAACTGTGTAAGAACATCATTCAGACGAGCACGAACACACTGCAGCAACCCAGAACAGCAGAAAGAGAAAACGGATCATCTATACAACATCTTCCAACAAAATTATACCCACACAACTTTATCCAAAAGTGCCTGACCACTCAATCCACTACAGCACAACCAACACAAGCTATGAAAAGGATAACACTGCCATACATCAAAAACATCTCAGAAACTACCAACAGACTATTAGAACCACATGGCATCACCATAGCACAAACCAACTAAAGCCCTCCAAAACATCTTAAGTAAACAAAAGACCCAGCAGACCAAGAAGAAAAAACAGCAGTCATTTACAATATACAGTCTAAAGACTGTAACAATTATTATGTAGGACAGACAGGCAGAAGACTAGCAGAGCGCATCCATGACACCAATTAGCCATCACCCCACAACACATGGACAGACTCAACCATCGTTTCAACTAGGAAACTGAGCATCCTAGACAAAGCTAAATCCAAAAATGCTAGGGAATTCCTGGAAGCTTTGCATTCAGATAATCAGCCATGAATAGACACATAAACCACATCTGCACACTATTCAGGAGACAATAAAAAAAGCTAAGAAGGAAGGAAAAAGACCAGACCACATCCTCTTCAGCATCCTCCACCCAGATAAGCAGGGATTAACACCAGACAACCAATCAAGCAATAAAGAACAGCCTAATCAAGGAACTATCAAGGAGAAAACCATACCACCAACAACACTGGCAAGGCAAGCTATTGTATATAAACAGTGAGCAAACCCCACATTCACTAGCACTGATGACGTTACCTAGTCCAGTAATTAAACATTGGTAAGCAAACAACCAAGCTCAGAGAGTACCAAGGACTCCACAGACATAAACTTTCATGAACTGCAGCTTGCTTCATCAAATGGCTAAACTGATGTAGAATGTAAAAAGGGGATAAGACAAGGAAGGGGGAAGAAAGGGTGGCTACGCAGAGGTAGGTTACACATGCAAAAAATTACCTCATCAATTAGCAATTGTAATGTGTTAAAAAAAACATTGTTTGCTAAAACCTTCTTAGATAGCCGAGAATCGTTTGCGTGTATGTGAGTTCAACAGTCTCTCACTCTACAATGCTGGTATAGCTTTGTTGTTCTAAAACAGACAACTTGAAACCTGTAATCAAGTGCCAGAGAGGTTAAATGCTCTTATATTGCTTTGTCCTTGTTTTGAGTCTTTTTTTTCATAATATTTTTATTAAAGTTTTACATAATTAAAGCTAATATAGAACTAAAAGAATATACAAACAAAAAGAAGAAAAGAGAAAGAAGAAAAGGGAGAGGAAAAAAAGAAATATAAAAGGTGACTTCCCCTTCCCTCCAAACTAGTATTAACAGTAACTTAATACCTTCTCTAATATTACAGAAAAAAGCCTTCTTCGTCCCCTTTCTCATCCCTAAAGAATACCAAATTATAAAAAATATTCATCAATCTAATCAGCAAAAGCATTAAGAGTACCAGTGATAATAAACTATGTATATTAAGCTTAAACAAATACATCTATTTTGTATTTTAACTTCTATTTTTTTTCTGAGAAATAAAACATAAAAGATCTCTCCCCATAAGCATAAGAAAGACCAATAATAATAACTTGTGTATTTTAAACTAAACCAAATAAATCACTTTTGCAGGTGTAAATTGTTTTACAGTCCTGGTCAAAAAAAATTCAATATCAACAACTCAGGATCAAAACTTATACAATTTCTACTTTAAATTCCTTTCTCTACTTTTTAAAAGGCTGAGTCTTCAATCTCTTCTCCAAATAATATCCCAGATAGTAATCTCTTATCACTCTCTCTCTGTCTATTTTCAGAAAAGGTTTAAGAGATTTAGTGTTTCCCTTCTGTGGGTCCAAAGTAGGATAGCTCTCAAAGTCATTCTTCAGATCCATTACAACTTCTTTCTCCATATCATTCTCATAATCAAGCATCTTTGAGTCCATCTTCAGATCCCCAGCATCTTTTCCCATATCTTCTCTGTCTCTCTTATAGTCTAGCATTTCTTTAAAGTCCATTTTAGAATCCTTATTTAAATCATCCCTAGTTTCTGTTTTATCCAATGAAATCTTTTCTTCTTCTACAACTTCTGTTAGACCCAA